GAAGGAAGAAGAACATCGAGAGGCAATCGCAAGATCGTTCCAGAAAGTTCATCGACCGAGACGCGATCTGCCTGGCTGCGAGAGAGAACAAAAAATTATAAAAAGAGGGAATACAGACAGTTGGAGCAAGAAAGAGAGATAAAGAGGAGGGAAAAGAAGAATAGAAAGAAGAGGGGCGAGGAAAAGAAGGGGAAAGTATCGTTTTCTGCGTATTTCTTCGAACAAGTCGTAATAAAGCCTGTAACTTTGGACATAAGATCATCAATTGCAACTTTGGCAATCTTTTTTTCTCTCAACACGGTATCACCATCCTTTTAGAAACGTCACGCGATCCGTTTCCAAATCGTTTCTTCGGCTAATTGTCTCGAATGTCCGAAAGAGACTTCTGTCACAAAACAACGAATTATTGCGATATTCACTGTGCCGTTTGATTGAATTATTGCCCTATTTTGGGAAAGATATAATTTGCTTCATGATTTCGAAAAAATTCGAGAAATCTATCTATAGAAGAACGTACGTAATAAATTTGTGCAAAGATTTTCTAATTCATTATCATAATTTTAACGATAAATCGATGATATTTTGCGACAAAAATTGTATTCTGTCCGTATTCAAAATTAATTAAAAATTATCTTTTTATCTACGCGCGATACAACTTCATTTGACGTATCCATTACGAAATTATCTTTAAAAATGGAAGATAAATAACAATCGGGACGAATGAATTCAAGGAAATATTTTCATATTCTTTCATCGTATCCATTTTCTCGCAATCTCGCGAAGGGATCTTCTCTCGAATGATCGTTCTTTCGATTAGCAACGTCGTTTGCCGCCAGCACGCGTACGATGTGTTACAATAATGTATAAACATTGAATCAAAAACTCGTTAAGAGAATCAGCGCGAGGAAGGGATGAGCGCATGTAACGAGTGTATAACTCGAGGCCGTTCGAGGATAATCCGCAGTTTCATCGTTGATTTACGACGCTTGGAATGCCGAGGACGCGTCAGCGGCGTCTTTCCTGTAATATTATCTCTTTACAATGGAAGATCGGAATATTCTCATGCTTTTCCAACCGACGACGATCGTGCGAGAAAAAATTGTATCATCGAGTTTGAAGAAGA